TCTGACTTTAACAAGGATAAAGTTTTACCATCTCTCACTTCCCAGGGGCTACAGTCCCTTTTCTATGTAAGAAAGTGCAACCCCCCAGCTCTGAAAGCCCCTGTGTCAAATCCCTTCTGCTGGGGAGCTTTGCAGGCAGTGCCATGTTGTCCCCTGCAGGGTTGGAGGGCTGAAGGGGAGCACACCAGGATGAGGCGGCCGCTGACATGTTAATATTTCATTTTAACCTTGAGTGCCAGGTTACTTTCCAAATGAAGTGTCTTAGGCAAGGCTCTAACTTACATGAAATAAAAGAGTTTAATGCTAATTAAATATCATCTGACTACTGAGGCCATATTTATCGGTGGTCTCAAAGAACATCATCGAGGTGGGTAGACTGGGAACGTGTCTCCACTAGAAACGTACCTTCGAGTCCCGGGACTCCTGCATTTCAGGCTCGCACACCCTGTGTGTGGAGAAGCACATGTGGGTGGGACCCCAGAGCTGCCCCTGCAGCTTTCTCTGCCGGATGCAGAGATCAGCGCCTTTAATGTGGATTTGGTTCAGGAGGTCCAGGAAATGCTGATGATGCTGGTCCAGCTGCACGGTGAGTAGTGAGAGTCTAGAGCAGACCAGGGTGAGTTCCTGGCACCACTGCTCACAGGGAGTGACAGCCCTGTGTGGAGTCTCCCACTATACTGGTCTCGCCCACCCCCTCCATCTCTCCTTCCTCCTTTCTTTATCCCAGACCTTCCTACTCCTCCTTCCTGTCCCAGCCTTGTTGTCGCTCTCCCAAGGCCAAGAACGGGGTGATTCCTTCAGTTAGTTAAAGTCTTCATGCAGGGTTTGACCCAATCTTCCACCATTTGCCTTGTCTTTGGTTGTCTGATTGCCCTACCCAGACTTGGAACAGCTCAAGGGCAGAGCCTCCATTCCAGCCTCTTACTTCTGTGCCTCCAGGCGAGTGCTTCTCCAGATGGCAAGGAGGGGGATGCACTTCCTGACCCTCTGTAAACAGGGACTCGCATGGGGTAGAACTGGCCTCAGCAGCCATGTGTTGGCTGAGCTTGGTAGGCAGGGCCTGGAATGTGAGGTCACGCTCTCCTGTCTACCCTCCAGCTTTCCTCTCGTGAGGCTTCTCTGGACTGTGTCTTCCTTTTCCTCTGATCAGCAGCCTCCTAACGGCATAGACGAGGGAGGCATGGCTCCAGTGCTGCAGGGGTGAGAGCATCCTCATCAGTGAACAGGGTGCGACCACTTGGAGGTGCACGCCCCAGTGGTTGCCCATGGCAATGGGTCCAGTGTTTGCTAGATCTTTGGATTTTTCTAGACAGGTCAGAAGTCTGGATTTTCAGATGGAACTCAGCCAGTTTTTGCAAGTGGAAAACTCTTACGTGATTTTCTTAAATCATCACATAAGCCAAACTGAACATGTGTGTCAGTGGATTCTGGCAAGTAGGCCTCAGGGTGCAGTGTCTGGTGCTCATCAATTCTGGGGATGATTCCATAGATCATGCTGGGAGAAGCCAGGGGGTCTGAAGGCGGTGGCCTGGTTGGAGATGTCTCCTCAGCAGCTCACCTTGCCTGGGGAAGGGGAGTTGGGTGGAAAGGGCTCTGAGTGAGGACTCAGAATCCATTCTGCAAGAGTGGGCCCTGATGTGGCTTTCAGGCCTCGGCAAAACTCATTCTTCCATATCAGCTTGTCTGCATCCACCTATAATTAGCATCTGAAATTTCTAAATGAACTGCCTAATCAAGTAAATTTAGCAAACTTATTGTGAAGTGCTACCAAATCCTCTCTCTCCAACTGCCCATACAGACACCCACACCACCTTGCTTGCCTATGCTATTTGCAGCTGAAGCTGCTTATGTGTGCTGTCTGGCAGCCCCGCAGACAGCCCATTTATGTGACCTATAGTGAGTTTATTAGTGTTTCACTGCCTTGTTGCTATTAAGTTTTATCAGTTTCAGCTTCAAGAACACAAGGTTAAATTTTCAGTAGAGTTTTTGTAAAGTTTGAGTGGGATTAAGATTGTTAAAAATGTGTCCAAATGGTGGGTCCATGTGTTTATTTTCAAGATATTATTTCTGCCCACTAAGAGATTTTGATCTCTTATTTATAAATGTAACACTTTTCTGATGTTCAGAATGGCAGCACAGGGCTCGAATTTTATACTGCACACTCTACACATGAATGTGTTAAACGTAGGGGCCCAAACCGAAGCTGTAGCAAATGGAGCTGGACCCGTTGGTGACTGTGCAGCCCGAGATGTTGGTACCCCTGTCCCAGGGTGCGGCTAGGACAAGCTGTTGCTTTGACCTGGTAAATAAACATCATAAAGAAAGAGGGAAAATTCTCCCACAAATTACAAAAGGATGAGTTATGATATTATTTTCCCCCGGTACCATAAGATAAGCAGGTTCTTCAATGAAAATACGTGCATGTGTAATTCAATATTATTTACCTGGATCCCTTCTGTAATTCTTGAGCAATTTTTTTTAGGAGAAACCAATTCAGGAGTCTCTTCATTGGCTGCAATCAGAATAAAGTGGTTCCACTTTTAGGTTAAGAGAAAAAAAAAACAGTAATAGGCTGAGCTGCTATTATGAAAAGTTTATTATAATTGATATATAAGCTAGCTGGGGGCTTAAGCACAGAGCAGTTGGAAAATTTCACTAGCTCCTGGATCCAATTTAAAAAAATCTATGTTGTGTCCACAGTGGGGAGATGGCCATAGCTGCAAAAGCCCTCTGTCATACATGGAGACACACCTGTGGCATTCTCTTGGTTCTATGCTGTTTGGGATGTAGAATGCTCTAAATCCTCTCATTACTGCCTTATAGATGATAGACACTTCAAGCAGTTCTCCATTTATCTGAGATTACCAGTTAAACTCATTAAAAAGCAACTCTGGCTTGTTCACTCAATTGGCTGTGGGGAAGATTTCATGTTCTTGAGCGACAGTGTGGCTTTGATTAGTGGAGTGCTATACTTTTTAGGGGAGACCTTTGCTAACTTAATTTATGACCCTGGTTGATGGCGTCTGTGCTGGGGCATTACGTATTTCCCCAACTATTGTACCTGGTGTCAATAAAGGTGCATTTAGGGAAATCTGAAATAAAACTCCAGGGTGTTTTTGTTCTTTGGGGAAGCAATGCAACATAAACATTTTGGGCTTGAGCCAACAACAGCTTTCCCTGACCGCGATTGCAAATTACTGTAGTATGTATAGATTGCCAGTGGAACACCATTTGAGGAAACCTGTATTTTATAGAATGTCACTTTTGTGCACAATCCAGGCAAAAGAAAAAAAAAACTAATTTAGCGAGCAGACAGTATTCTTTCGAATGAGGATTATGAAAAAAATATTTACCAAAAAACAAGCTCTAAATATGGCTTTTTATTTAGTCATTATTACATCAATCATCAATATCAATACTTAATAGCAACCTGATAATGTAGCCAGTAGGTGAAACAGCTATTAAAAAGTGTAAAAAAAGATTAATCAGGCGCAGGTGATATTAATGCTCTCCAGTTATTTAATGATAAGTACATATTTTTGAAAGTGTTTTTAATAATCGACTATAATATTAGTTTGCAAAAATGTAATTTCTTCTTAATTTTGCATCTTAGCTTCTTTGTGCCGGGTACAAAGGTAGTATATTTCTGTAGTTATTGTTTGCAGCACTCCGTGTAAAAAATCACGTTCATTTCAAGAAGCTGTTATGGTATTGATTCTGGTAAAGACTTCCATTAACTGACCAATCTAAATCTCATAAGTGATGTCAGGATAGTTATGCATTTGCTTGGTTCAAGTATTCAGCCATTATGTTAGAATGCAGGCAGTGTCTGAATATGGCTGTTAAATTATTTCTAAATACCGAACCAGAACAGCTTAACAGTTCTGCAGTTTGAGACTGACACAAAAATGACAATCTGCCACCTCTTTGTTTTTTAAATATTAACGTTGTATTGGGATAGTATTTTTGGAGTAAAAACCTGTGGCACGAGAGGATAAGTGACATAAACAAAGGCAGCTGGGCTTCATGAAATAATGGAACAATAAGGCCCTTGCAGCCGTTCTCATCACTCCAGTATGTTAATTAGCATTCTGTTGTGGCCGCAACACTGAAAACATGTAATCTGTATTGGTGTACAGTACAGCTGTGAACACACATTCTTTTTTGTGAGTCCCTGGAGTTAGCCTTGCCATTGGCATATGCGTTTGGGCCAAAAGTCAAGCCATCACCACTAAAATAGCACACTATAGAAGCAAAATGTCATTTGTCTTTTCTTATTTTTTTTTCTCCCTTCAATGCCACATGCTGTCCAGTGATGTAATCCAGTATCACTGCATCTGCCTCCCTGCTCTATTTTTGCAGGAGGGTATCTGAGGGGGCTGGGATGCCAGCAAGCAGGAGGATTTAAAAGGCAAGTGGCCCTAGAAGGGTCAAATTTAAAAATCAGTTCTTTCTTTTTGCATTATTTGTCTAAAAATATATATTTTTTTAATGCATAGATTTTTAAGTATCAGGGACCCAGAATCCGCTGCTTGTTTCCCTGCGGGGAGGGGGAGGGGGAGGCAGCTAATTCATAAGGAAAAAGAATTCAGTAAACTTTACCCTTATTTATCATCTATATTTCGAACCTGATTCACAGTCCTTCATGCATGTTATACCCACTTGGGGTGGGGTTTGTTCTTCCCATTTCAGAGCTGAAGAAACTGAGGCTGAAGCATGGCCCAAAGATGGACTCTTATTGCAGGGGCTTTCTGACCTCTCTGCACGCAGACAGTGGATGGCTGCAGAGAGTGAAAATGATTGGTCGTTTTGAGGCAAAGGGGTTAGTACCAGTGAGCGGAGGCAGCCAGTGGCTGGAAGCAGTAACTGGGGACTTCAGAGGCAGGACTCAGAAAGACCCCTCTTGCGTGATCTTCTGCTCACGTGTGGCTGTCTGGGAGCCGCCCCTGGTACTGCCGGAACATGGCCCTGGGTTCTTTCTGATACCAGTTTTGGAGGCAGGAGAAGACTGGGTTTCAGCGATGTTGTCACAGGAGCTTGACTAAGTTGCCAAAACCTGCTTGGATTTTTACCTGATAGCATTTGGCTTGAAAAGCGAAAATGGTTCCATTTCAATTTTCCCTGGTTTCAAAGTAATTCAGCTTTCTTTGTATGAGTGTATGTGCAGCATCCCCAGCACAGGACACTTACACACACACACACACACACACACACACACACACACACACACACACACACACGCTCATACATACTCTTGTTCATGAAGTACGTATCCCTTTGCAAAATATTTTTTGAATCAAAAATTACATTTTCTAGCCCTTTAAATGTATTATAAATTCAAATAGGGACTACCCAGTTGTTAAAACTTTTCCTACATTTCAGATTAATTTTATCCATCCCCCATCACCATCTGATCTGACTATACCAAAGGAGATTTTTGAAAAGAAAAAAAAAGAACCCAGATAACCAACAGCAAAACCAAACCAAACCAAACCAAACCAACCAAAAAAACCCCATCAGCTCTAAAGGAAATTTCAGACTCTGTGGGCAAAGCTTCTTGTTGTCTCTTTCTGAAAAGTGAGAATGAATACTTAGCTCAAGATTTTTCTTTTAATCTACCTCAAAGCTGATTGAAAAATTACCTCCACCCCACAGAGAAAACACAGCATCTGGGTCACCATGCTGATCCAATTTGGTTCTGCTTTCGGACTGTGGAGGAATCAAATGGTCTGGCGTTTAGGTGATGTGAGCGAGTGTCCACCTGGGAGCGGATGAGGTTAAAGGTTAATAGCACTTGCTTTTTTTCTTTTTTTTAATTCCAGCAGAACAGAACTCTTTTACACTTGCCTGGCCCCTATCCTGAGTCCCATGTCCAACTCCACAGCCTTCGGAGAGGCCTCTGTTGGTGTCTTTGCTCAGACTTGCCTGGCTGAGGTAGGGCAGGACTGACACTAAGATTTTAGGTCTGTTGTTTCTCTTTTCCTGGAAACTCACCCCATCCCCCCTTGGTTAATGGCTCTTTAAATATTGAAATGCCTGGAAAAAAGAAAACAAAATAAAATAAAACGCAGGCTGTCAAAGAGATAAGAACAACAACAACAAAAATGTTGGTATCTTTTAGAATTTGTCTTCCTAGTGGTAAAAGTATATAATTAATAGGAGAATTTTCCTCCAGATGTGGCTATACTATAATAGAGCCTTATAAATGCTACAGAAAGAAAAATTGCTTGGAACGAAGGCGTCCTCAATGAGAGCACACCTGGGTCTGACAAAGATTGCATTTAGGGACTGCTGTGCTATCACAACGCAGAGAAAGACCAAGTCTCCGGGAGCAGCTGGAGAGAAAGCCCCGGCAAATCTGCATGCAAATAGCAGCACATTGTTAACTTAATCAGATGCCGAGGAAAAGATGTGCCAGAACCTCGAGGATGATCTACATACACGGAGGGAGAGCGGCCTGGGCTGCCATGGCCGCTGGGCAAGGATGGGCCTGGAGCAAGGTGCAGTCGGGCTGGCCCAGCCTACCCACTGCCTGCCCATTTGCCCCAGCCTGCGGTCGATTTATCACAGAATGCTTGGTGCGGTCTTTGAAAAGATAGAAATGATGGTGTATATTTCAATTGGGAGGAAGCTTTTTTTTTTTTATGGTGATATAGGTATTGGTATTATTTTGCCTGACTCCATAAGTCCAATTAAAAAATATTTCTGCTTAAATATCCGGGTGCATGAAGATAAGAAATATTGCCCTCGAGTGTATAAAGAAAGAGATCTTTTCATTAAAAAAAAAGATTCTCTCTATAGAGTGAAGTGCTGAGTATATATTGTACCTTAAGAAGTGGAAGACACCTGTTATTTATATTTTATATTAATATTAACGGACATATATATTTTAAATCTCCTCCATCTTTTAGTCTAGCACCGTAAAAAAATAAAAAGTAATACTATTTAATCACCCACAGCTTAATAGTGCCTTAGTTGTTTACTGCCATCGCACTAATTGCTCTGTACTAATGTGTTTTTCTGTGATATCCAGTAGTGCTAAGAGAACAGAGATCCATAACCAATTAAGTATAGTGTTTTTTATGTTAAAAATATATCTGATGAGGCTAGAAAGGGAACAGGAGCTGCCCTTAACGAAGGCGCATTGGCACCGTCTGGGAGCCCAGGAAAAGGTGCCCGCGTTGCCTCTTTTGCGCAAAGACAAAGGGGGTAATTTTTTTGGCAAGAAAACAAACCCGAGGAAAGCACAACAAACTGAACGTTTCCTTCCCACCCCCACCCCCCCTCCAGCAACTCCTTAGGCTGCTTCTGTACTCTCTCTTCCAGTGCGGGAGAGTTTGACTCGGGAGGGAGAAAGGGGGAGCGGCCACCCGGCGGTGCGGCGGGCAGGCGGCCGGGAGGAGCGGGGCTGGTCCCCGGTTGGGCTGTGGCCCGGCGCCCGCGAGCCGGAAGGGCGCCCGTTCAGACGCAGGCTGCCCACGGCAGAGGGCTCATCGCGGAGCGTTGTTGTTGGCTCCAGAAGGAGCGAAGCGTCCCGGAGATCGGGCCGCGCTCGCGCGGCTCTGGGCGGGAGGAAGGTGAGGGGAAATCCGACCAAACAGCGTTCTTAACAATTTCCAAAGACGGTGGGAGTGACAAAGGAACGCAGGACGCCGCCGCCGCCGCTGTCTGGGCCCGCGCTGTTTCCTGGTGAAATCACTAGTCGGGGACGGGAGCCGGCCACAGGGCAGCCCGCCGCCCGCGTTCGCTGGCGGCGCGCCCGGTGGGGCAGCGGC